AGCGATCACTATATTAACTGGAGCGGCAGCTCTAGTAGATCCCTAGCGTCTGAGAGGTGACTTTGGACTGTCACGAAATGCGTTAGGCTTTTCGGCAACAGCGGTATACTGATTCAGCTACAGCTACCGAGTTATCGTGGAAAGCAGATCGGGTGCACAAAGTGGAACGCACGCAAGGAGTATTCCATCTCTCCCAGCACAGCGGTATCATCTCACTGGCCGGAGAACGTTTTTCCACAGCTTGCTTAAACATCACCCGTTCCTGCTGACCCCACAAGACTCAATTGCTGTTATACTACACTTTATTTCTGTGAGTGTATTCTAACCTTTATTCTCAATAAATGTGAAGATTTTAGCTGGAAAGCACTGTCAGCTTTTTATCATTATTTCAAGACCATCAAGGAAATCATATTACCATGTACCTGCTATGGTGGTCTATGAGTAATAGTTTTTCTACTACAATCTTATGTTTCTGCTTCTACTGTTTTATACCACTGTTGGTTATATTGTTTGCACAACTTGACACTAAGTTGCTGCTGTCAGTTCTCATTGACAGTAACACATTGTGTTGGTTGTGATATTGGCATCTATTTTTCCTGCATTATAAGAACTTTGATATCCAGAGACTGTCAGTTGGTTCTATTGCCACATTTTTTGGACTATTTTTGGACTATTTTGTGAATTTTGAAAGTTATTCACTGATAGTATATTTATTTATATCTTTATTTGATTCCAAAGGACATATTTGCACTTATATTGCTATTTTATTAGATTTTTTTTCTTTTAATCTCCAGTTATTGCTGCTGGGAACACAATACTTAGTTAACCAACCCCCTCCTACGTGAGAATATTTATGATACAAGGTCGCCACCTAGTGAGCACACATATATTGCACTTTAAGTTTTATATTTTCTTATGTGCTCTTCACTGTATTATCTGCTTTTAACATTTGTATTAGTGACAACATCTGGTTAGGGATCTCCTAGTACGTGTAGGTTTTCATACCTACTTTTATCTATCAGACAAATAATAACTAAATATTACCTATGGTAAAGTATTAAGTAAAAAAGTGCACTGTTAAATTCTATAAGAAAACAGTGAAACAGATATAAAACTGGCTGACGACAGCACTTATCCATGTCTGGAGACCCTGGAAATACTTACCAAATAAATCTGGAATGTTTACTGTAATTTTACCTTTATTTTAGGTACTTTCTGGCAATTGCCCTAATCCAAGATGGCTGCCACAACTTGTATACCCACAATGCAAGTCCTCTGTAGTAGGCCCATAGAGGCACAAACTGCACACGTGTGGGCCTATTCCGAGTGTGTTTGCTGTTTAGAGACCAGGGAGAGAACTCTGTCTGTAGCATACATGGCCCCTGAGCACCCAGGAAATTGGGAATAAATCACTGGGACTGAGGGGAAGCAAAATAGATAACATAAAAGTGCATGCAGAGAAGTTTAAAAGGCAACCAGGTGCAAAAAGTCAACGTTTAAAGGCACCACAGTCTAAAGGCCTCATGGTATAAAATGTATCACAGTTTTCAAAATGTACTGTATTCCATTTTTCATTGTTTTCAAATTGAAAATTGAAAGCGTATTATGATTCTTTGCTTGTAATGGAAACAGAGAACAAAAGATAGTGCAGATGGTATATATAAAATACAAGATTTATTTAGATTGCACTTACAAATTCAGATTAAAAATAAGCATAATTCCGCATCCAGCGGATCCAGGAAGTATAGTTCACCCATGGAGCTGAGGATGCAGGAACAATGATGAATAATAAAACAATAAAAATGAAAATAAAAGTAAAAGTCTGAGGACAAATAGATCCTAAGTCTCTAGAGAGTATATCCAATGCGTATCAGCTATGTCCACAATCTCGTGGCGTGCGTTACACGGTGGAATGCTCTGTGACTTCTGTTCTGTATTGACGTCATTTCCTTTTTCAAAACAACATTTGTGTGGTTTGTGTTCCACTGTGAAACGCTAAGTCCGTTCACGATATCTAGTCTAGGGGAAGAATAAGAGGAACCAAAAATGTATACATTTATACATATTTAGGACTCTCTATGACAACTAGGGTCAGAAAATAAACGATAATATCATACAGAAATTGGTCTTGAAAGACCTCAAAACATGAGTCAATGATGTAGAATAAAAATAAGGAATGCAATACAAAAATATATGATGTAAAATATTAGTATAAATATTGTAGTGTAAAAAAATAATTTAATATATGGCCATATGAAAGATATAGAGTTATAGTTAGAGTTGAGCGAACTCAAACTGTAAAGTTCGGGTTCGTACCAAACATTACGGTTTTTGGACCCTGGAACCGAACACGGACATATCACTCTATGTTCGGGTTGGAGTTCAGTGTTCGGTGATTTAATGGCGCCTATTGAAAGGCTGCAGGGCAGCCAATCAACAAGCGTTTGACTCGTGTGCCCTTAGAAGCCATCACAGCCATGCCTACCAATGGCATGACTGTGACTGGCCAGTGCAGCATCTGACCCAGCCTCTATATATAAGCTGGAGTCGTGTAGCGCCGCCCGCACATGAGCTCTTATTAGTGTAGGGAGAGGATGCTGCAGCTGTGAGGGACAGATTAGGAAATAATTCTGATGTTGAATCTGCAAACAACATCGATTATTCAAAGTACAGCAATTATTTTTGTGGGTGCTATAATACTACATTTTTGTACCCTGCCCTGAGCCCAGTGCCACAGAGTGCAGTGCACTTGCAACTGCATGTGTGCCAGGCACATTACTTTAATCCTGTTCTGGTAGCTCAGTGGGTAACATCTAGGCATTTTTAAATACAGCAATTTTTTTGGTGCTAAATAGTACATTTGCGTACTGCATTTCTTGCAGTCCTATAAAACCCTTAAATACTACTGTTACATTGTTGGTTTAAAATCAAACTTTTTTGTGCTAAATAGTACATTTGCGGCCTGCTGTGCACTTCAAATCTGAAAGTTAAAAAGAACCGTCAAATACTGTGCTTACAGCGCATTTTTAAACATTCAAATTCTTTACGTGCTAAAAAGTCAATTTGGTGCCTGCACTTCATATCTGAGAGTCAAAGAGAACCATCAAATATTGTGCTTACATTGCAGTTTTAAACATTCAAATTTTTTAGGTGCTAAAAAGTCAATTTGGTGCCTGCGGTTCTAAAATTCTATTTTTTTGGTGCTAAATAGTACATTTGTGGCCTGCGGTGCATTTCTTGCAGTCCAATAAACTAAAAAAAAATTTTACAAAAATTTTGACTATTGGCGTTTACATTCTCGCCTGACATAAAACATCTGTTAGTTTGGTGTGTGACGGCAAAGAATGAGGAGAGCGTTCACCTACTTTATGGTTCACTCTTTTGTTTCTTCTCTTTATTCTTTAGTTCATATCCCGGGGGTTATCCCCCCCTATCTTAGAGCAACCTGACACCTTCTCCCTGATAGGTTTTCTCTATTTCTATATTTCACTGTATGTAATATAAGTTTAATACACTCACAAAAGTAGAGCCACAATTTCACCTTAGGATACTTAAGTAGATCCACACCCCTGCTCAGTGAATCTGTAGGATAGTAACTGTATAAACATCGCTTTGCTGAAGCATTAGATGATTACACCAAGGATAAGTTGCAAAAATGTATTTTTAGAAATAAAACATCAAATTATATAAAGTAACACAAAAAAAAAAAATCAAGTCCATACATGTAATAGCAATAATCAAATCACCAAAACATGTTTACCCAATACTGTCTATATCGGCTGTGGAATGCAACTTGCATTCCATCGATCTTTTTGCATCATTTCCTATGATGAGATTAGGTATTCCAGCATCCCCCTTCCTATATAAATCTCCTGGAACGCACTATGTGTGCTTTACGCTCCCGGAACCTCTAATTGGGACGCAAGTGGGTTCCACAATGTCCACATGGTACTTGAATAAAAAGGATTTGTAAATTAACTTATAAGTTATTTAAAATGGCAACAACATCAGCAGGAGGTACTACCCTTCTTATTCTATATAGTTTGTTAACTTTTGTTTAAACAAAGTATGCTGTTGAGTGATATTGTCTCCTTTATTTTTTTACGTGTCCATTTGCAGGTTTCCATGGCTTCTGTAAAATTACTCCCACCAATGCTGCCAATTGTCACAATCAACTGAACAACCTCAGCATATCACCCAAAACACAAATGCTTGGCTCACTCTCCCAACCCACCTTTGCACTATCCTTCTTCCCAAGTCGGATACACCCAATCCATACTCTACTCTGGAAAATATCCCATACTCAGGACTGTGCAAGGCCCCACATTGTTACAGATCACCCTCAAGAAGCTGAGATCCTCCTCCTTTGTCCAGTATGGCATTCGGCCTTCCCATTTCCATGGCCATGACCATCGACATGCCTTATTTACACATCACTCTGCTGCCTGACTGCATCTTGATATTACTTACCTTCTATCCATTAAATATTGAAGAACAAAAAAAGGAGCAAGGAATGAGTGACGATAATGATTGACATGCAAGCTAACATTATTACTTGCATACATCTTTCATCTATGTGTAATTCCTTGTCAAATTGTGTTCCTGTATTGCTATTGCAACGCTACACTATGTCATTGTATTATTTGCTAACCAAAAATAAGGATTTAAAGGGAATTCAGGGACTTAATGTGATTCTGGCTTTCTGGCACACCATCAAAACGTTATATAAGCACACATCTTAATGACGTATATAGTTATTTTTCCATACTATATATAGTAAACCCAGGCAGGGTCACAAGTAGGATTGAGCTCTCGCCAAATTAGGTATGGTCCCATAGGGCTCTTCGCCTATAAGTTGAGTGGTCCCACAAGGCATACTGTCAGAGGTGCGTGCCCAATCATCCCAATACATAGTTATAACATTGCATCAAGTCATAGTTAGGGCCTCACCCATCACGGCCAATCATTTTACATTCTTTTACGTATCACCGAGAGGCCAACACCACGCCACCCACCTCAGTGGCACAAAGGCCCCACGAGCCAAATCATAGGTAGTGCCTCTCATAGCCACTTGGCAAGTAGTCAGGGCTTCACCTGTCACCAACATAAGCTAGTTAATACAATTTCGCCAGTAGGCACTATCCTAGTAAGCTGGGTCACTACTGTTCTATACAGTACCATACTAACCTTGTCCATCTGCCTCACTTCCGTAGCATGTCTAACGCTTCTACACAAGGAGATGATCTGTCAGTTGTCAGCACCCCACTCAGATCAGGCTCGCAAAGACAATCCATTCCACCAAATCCAGCTTCGAGCTATCGTTCCTGGACTATTCCTAAAATCACCTCAGAACTTAAAAAGAGGAAAATTCCTTTCCCGGCTACATCCAGGAAATCCGAACTGTTTAGTTTATTAAATATTACTGAGGACAACGAAAGGCCTGGCCCTAGTTCAGATTTCAATGTGCAAAATAGCCTTGCCGAGTTGCACGTCATGATGGCCTCCCTTGTTTCTTCAGTAGCAGCTATTAATAATAGGTTGGATAATCTGGAGTCAAATAATTTTCCAACCGTTCCAGAGCTTCCAGTGCCTGTTGCTCAGTCCGCACCTAACCCAGGAGGTAAAGATAACCCTCTACCAGCTAATAGAGCTACCAATGTCATAAATCCTATTCACCTCATTCCTCAGTCTCTGAGACGTGGCATTATAGAGGGGAAGGACATCAACTTGGCTTCACTACTGATAGCATCTCAAGACATTGTCGACAACAGGGCTTATACCTTTGAGCATCTGTCAGTAGTGATGAAGTCTAGAGATCCTAGACTAAATAGGAAACTTAACATCCCCGAATTTGTCCTCGGATTCAGTCTGTAGAGAGACGTGATCTGTACGGCTTTCCCGCTCCGTAGAGAGGAACTTGACTTATACCTTCATAAAGTGGTTGAGTTAGCATATAAGTACGGTGCTATGCCTTTTATGATTATCATAAGTAATTTGCTTCCAGATCTGCAGAATCGCTGTCCCAGTACAATACAATTACTGATTGGGCACAGCTAGACACGGAATTGTTTCTTATGCATTTTGCAGGCCTTAAAATCCCTTCCTGTGCTATATGCTCTTCTGCTGCTCATTCAGTCAATTTCTGTCCTGAAAACGTAGCGACCCCTTCTACCAGTAGCGCCAATACTGATTAACAGTCCAACACGACTCAGAGGGAAGTGAGAGACAAATTAGGCAGGCCAATTGTTTTTCTAGTTAAAGCACAAGTCTGCAATAATTTCAATGCCAAGGGTTGCAGTTGTAGTGCTTGTAGACTTCTTGTAGCCTGTAGACTAGACTTCACTGTGTTTCAGAGCACATACCTAAGTTGCAATGCTACCTGTCTAGTCATCCTTCTTTTCATTTGCTGGAATTTCTCACGGCTAGTTTCACTAATGGGTTTCACACAGGGTTTGTGTCACTCCCCACAGGTATTTTGGAATGCCCCAACCTACAGTCAGCACTCACAGATCCAGACAGCATACAAGAACTCTTACAGAAAGAAATCACTAATGGTTTCATGATAGGTCCTTTCTCAACTCTTCCTTTCACTTCCTGGAGGACAAACCCTCTAGGAATCGTCACAGGGAAATATAACAATAAAAAGAGACTGATTATTAACTTATCTGCACCCCACTCATCCCCTACACCTAGCCTTAATGCACTGATCCCATCAGAAGACTTTTCCCTTCAATACGCCAGAATTGACGATGCCATCCAAGAAATCATTCATTCCGGGAAGGCTGCTTGGTTAAGTAAATCTGACATTACTAACGCCTTTAAACTACTTCCCATCCATCAGTCACTCTGGCATCTGCATGGAGTTAAGTGGCAAGACAGCTACTATTTCACTACCAGACTTACCATTGGATCCAAAAGTAGCCCTAAGTTATTCGATATATTCGCCGAAACTTTAACCTGGCTCCTACTGAACTTTTGCAGATGTCCAGTAGTCATACATTACTTAGACGACTTCCACACCATTGAACCACACCAATACATGCCCAACAGTCCTAATCACATTCTCACTCTGTTCAAAGACTTAGGAGTCCCTGTAGCACAGGACAAAACAGAAGGTCCCAACACGGTGATTACTTTCCTGGGAATTACGCTCAATTCTGTCTCTATGCAGGCCAGCCTGCCTCAAGAGAAAGTAGACCGGATTATTTCTTACATAAACATCTGCACGTCACAAGGCACTTGCACCAGGAAACAGCTACAGTCACTACTTGGTTCACTAAATTTTGCTATGAGAATAATTCCTCAGGGTAGGTCTTTCATTTCCAGAATCCTCTCACAGTTGCACGGTCTCCCCGACGACGACTCCACAACTTCCTTAGACGAGTCAGCTAGAGCTGATCTTCAAATGTGGCAGCTGTTCCTATCATCTTGGAATGGCAGGTCGCTATTTGTCCCACCCATTTATGATGATTCCCCTGCTTCAGGTGCATTAGGGTATGCAGCTATTTTCGGTGATGAGTGGCTATACGACTCTTGGACAATTGAGACCACCTCACTCAAAAATTTCAATACCACCTCAGCTCTATTTGAAATGTATCCTACAGTAGCAGCTGCACACATCTGGGGTAAAGAATGGCATGGGCAGTCAGTCAGATGCTTTTCTGATAACTTAGCTACTTATAATATAGTTAACAAAGGCCGCTCTCAGTCCCTCACGATTATGAACTTAAACATTTTGTTCGTGATTATCATATAATAAATGTTTTTTCTGTTGAAACTGTTGTTGCTTTCACAACTTTTTGCCACATCTCTCTTAATTTAGCCTACAACACTATCAAACTCTACTTAATGTGATACAACACTACATTGTTTCCTAACGTCCTCGAAATGTGCAGTACACAAATATATATAAATATATATATATATATATATGTATTTGTATGCTTTGATGTTTTTTCCTTTTTTTTCCTAACTAGCGTATTTATTATCCACTGTTTATTTACTTGTTCTGGATATTCTCAACCAATCTGCACCTTTCACTCTCAGGCAATTCTTCTACTATTTATGACCAGACACTCACCCCAACCCCCACATCCCCTCCTCCTCCCCTCCCTGTCTCTAACATCAGTTGTTTTAGGTGTTAACTCATCCAGATTGATCAGTATTGATTCAGACCTGATGAAGAGAGGAAACTCTCAATAGCTTGTCTTTTAAGTATTATGTTGGTCCAATAAAAAAAGTATAATTGCATACTGCTATACTCTGGTGCCAGAAATACTATACAGGCATTTCTCACTTCACAAACTCTCTCTTTATGAACTCCCGCCTTTATGAACTTTTTCCTGGATGTGCAGCCATTTTGCTTTACTGACATTTTGTGTCCGTGGTCCATGAATCTGGACCAAGGAGCGTGCTTTAGAGCACAAACAAGAAGAATTTGTTGCCAGGAGTAGACAAGAAAAGAAAAGAGGATCAGGAACGCAGTTCCTGAAGATAAAGGGAAGTCTAAAAAAAAAACGGTTTCGACTGTACTGTAGTCTTTCTGTGCTTTCATGGGCATACATGTAATATTATTGCACTGTGTACTGTTGAGTAGAGATTTGATTTTTCTGTGTGTGTGTGTGTCTGACATTGCTTTCTGTGTGTGTGTGTGTGTGTGTGTGTATTTGCCATCAGTGAGGAGCAGGAGGAGGACTATAGAGCTTAAAGCAAGGGGAGTCAGAAGAGAGTTTGAGAGCTGTAAATAGTAAAGGAGTAAAAGAAAATGCTAAAAATGAGATGCAAGCTTGCAAGTAAGAGGGGAGAAGGAGGAGAGTTTTAGAAAGGTGTAAAAAATAAAAGAAGGGGTCGTGGTTTGGCTACTGATGGAGTACGTCTCATGCTGCACTAGCTCCTAGGCCCCAACGCACTTAAGCACAAAATATAAGCATCTCTCTCGACCCCCATGGGGAAATCGAAACGGGCTGCAACCAAGAGAAACCCACACGGGCCAACAGCCGGGCCCCATGGACGAATTCCTGTCCACCCCACAGAACCTCAGAGGTGCACGAGGTGTGGACAAGATGGTGCCCACCTCCCCGGGCTCCAGCAGTCTGGCGGGCTCCTCAAGGGACTCCCCGCGGGGTGATGCAATGACCCAGATGTCGGCTGACCTAGCGGCAATATCCGCCAACATGCTCACTCGAGGTGATAAAACAGAGCTGGTCGCCGAGCTACACTCTGTTATCCACGAAGAAATAGCGGCGGTACGCAGGGACCTCTCGGTGCTAGAACAAAGAGTGGACGACCTGCAGGAACGCCACGTGCAAACAGCGCAACAGCAGCAGGCCACAGACTTGACAACCACAAGGCAGGGGAACATTCTCCTAGACCATCGACGCCAAGTTGAAGACCTGAATAATAGGGGCCAGCGAAACAACATCCACATCAGGGGCCTCCCAGAGACAGACAACGTGTCCCCATGGGAGCTCCTAAGAGGCCTCTTCGCACACATCCTATTCCCCGCTTCCTCCAGGCCGTGGGCCTACTGCACGTCCACGTACAGAACTGGATTTTGGAGTGCCCACCGGCCCGCCCCAACTGGCCCCATCCAGCTGTGGATAACCTGACAGGGGGGACTGCGGCATGGCCACCCCAACGCCAGGCCAGACCTGGAGGTCTCCCGACAGGGTGCCCACAAGATAACCCTTGGGCGATCTGTCCTCCCAACAGCAGCGAGACTAACATCAGCTGGTATGTACTCTACTCCCCACAGCCCTGGGTGCCTCTGATACCCTGCTCCCCTTATTAGACAGCACAGAGGGACGCCCTAAGGTGACACTGGGCCTGGGAGGGTAACAGGAATAGATTGTAGGCCCCTAAGCAGCCACGCAACAAAGCGCACAGCTCCTCCACAGGTACCCTGAGAACTGGGGAAAAGCATAGGTGGGGTGGCGGGGATGTCCGGGGGATGCAGGAGTTTCTCAATGGGAAGGTCGCTCATTGCTCACATGTGTGATTTCACGGGATGCATACCCAGGAATGGTGGGGGGGGGGTCCCAAAGTGACTGGGGTGAAATACTGTTCCATAATATGTTTTAATGGAGTTCTTCATGGTTAAACGTTCAAAGTCGAATGCTTTTTTGACTAAGGTACACTGTTCATGTATGATATAATTGAGTTCTAAACAGTTGAACGCTAAATGTTGATTGCTTTTTGACTATGGTACACTGTAATTGTAGCAAAGGTACTTCAGACCCCCAGATCCCCACACCCTCCCCCAACAGGCCCAACCTTGACACCCGCAAGGGCAGACCGCCTCACATAAAAATAGCTACACTATGTTAGCTACCCCCCTCCACCAGAGACCACATTCGCTGCCACCCGCGGCAGGTTGGGTGCCACAGGAGGCAGTTGCTGACACACCCTTAGGTTTTAGAGACGTGGCCCTCCACGTACCCCACGCAACAGACCTATACAGTACGAAGAACTAGAGTTCGAAGAAACTATAGGACACGACAGACTCACGAATGGTACCGACCAGTTTAGGTTCGTAAGTTGCTCCGTTTCCCCCCCTCACCCCGACACCCACTGACCCCCTCCCTACACCCCAATTAAAATACCCCCATTCCCCTTTTGCCGACTTACTGCCTCATCCAGCTCCGCGGCAGTAGTCCCCCACTCCCCCTACTTCCCCATTTGGGCAGCCCGACTCCAGAGGACATGACGGGATTTAGCCCAGCCCAGCTCACGTACTGGTCCAACAATGTCAGGGGCCTAATCTACCAGAGAAGCGCTCCCAACTTCTACGACAACTCTGGGTGGACAGGGTGTCCGTAGCGTTCTTAGAGGAGACGCATTTTCGGGGCCTCGAAGCACCGAAACTCAAAACTAAATGCTTCCCCCTGGCTTAGTACGCCAAACCCCCCACTATTCGAGGAGAGCAGGTGTTGCAATACTCTTCACACACACTACCCCCTTTACCCACATCGCATCACTCATAGTCCCAGATGGGAGATATATCTTCGTCAAGGGCACCATAGCAGAACATACATACACTTTCGCAAGTATATACTGCCCAAACCACGGCCTACACACCTTCCTCGCCCGCACCTTAACCAAACTTGAAAAGTTCAGAGAGGGCCTCCTATTGTTGGCCAGAGACCTGAACATGCCACTTGACCCACACCTGGACACTTCCCGAGGCACTAGTACGATACCAGCTCACTGCCTCAGTAAAGCCCTGAGGTCACTGGGTACACTAGGGTTGGTGTACTGCTGGAGGGCAGCTCATCCAGACGAGAAAGACTACACGAACTACTCATACGTAGATAAACATAACAGCCACATAGATTACGTATTCATGTCTCAGGAATAGCTCGCACTACTCCAAGATGCAACCATAGGAATCATGACCCACTCGGACCACGCACCAATCAAACTGCGCACAAGCTCACCCCTTTACAGACTCAAAGACCGACAGTGGAAGCTTAATGAAACACTACTGACAGACCCGGTAACCCGCACATCTGCACTTCAGACACTCACACACTACTTTGAGTCCAACGACACCCCAGACATACCTCCCCTGACAATATGGGAAGCACATAAATGTGTCATACAGGGCCACTTCATTGCTATTAGTACACAACACAAAAAAGACAGGAAATGACACATCACCGAACTCACCTCCAGGATAGCTAACTTAGAATCCTCACACAAACAGATGCTAGACAACAACACGTTTCTACAACTGACAGAGGCTCGGAGGGGACTCAGTGACCACTTATCCCAGGGGCTGTTCCACACCATGAAAAAGTCTGCAAGGTACTTCTTTGAGCATTCCAATAAAAGGGGCAGGCTCCTAGCGAAAATGCTCCAGGAGAAAAGGAGGGCCCAGCACATCCACAAAGTCAACACCCGAGACCAACGGTGCACAAGGCGACCAGAGGTCATACTTGAGGCGTTCAGGGAATACTACAAGGACCTATAAAATCAGACACAGACCAAACAAGGAGCGATCCTACAGTCCCACCAACGCAAAAATTACGGACTTTCACAACACATAACCAAAAGGTTCATGCCAGAACAAACAGAAGACCTAGAACTGCCCCTGACCCTGGAGGAACTATGCGGAGCCCTAAAAAGTATGAAACCACCTGACGGTCTACCTCTCTCGTACCTCCGAACATTCAGAGACACTCTACTGCCCAAACTCCTGGCGGGGCTAAACTTGAAATTCGATGGCGGACGATTTCCAACAGACACCCTGGCAGCTACAGTCACGGTAATACCCAAAGAAGGCAAAGACCCAGCCAACTGTTCCAGCTACCGCCTGATCTCTGCTGAACTCTGACCTCAAGCTGTTTGCCAAGGCACTAGCCCGAAGGATCTCGCCGACCCTTCCGGGCCTTATACACCCTGACCAAGTCGGGTTTATCCCAGGGAGAGAGGCCAGAGATGACACGATACGGACACTTAATATCATCCACACGGCGAAGTCCACAAGACGAGACATAAAGGTGTTTGATTGAGTGGACTGGACGTTCCTCGCTGCAACACTAGGCCACTTGGGCTTTGAAATGGTACCCACCAGGGGTGTCCCTTGTCCCCCCTCCTGTTTGCCCTCTCTCTGGAACCTTTTCTGGAGGCGGTCAGACGGGATGGGGGCATTACAGAGTGCACCTAGGCAATGAGGAGCACAAAGTGGCGGCCTATGTGGATGACATGCTGTTATTCTTGGAGAAGCCACTGATCTCGATCCCCTACCTCTTCAGGGCATTCAGTGAATACCACCAAGTTTCCAACCTGAAATTAAACCTGGACAAACCCAAAGCCATGCCTATGACTGAAAACGGAGACCTCACCAACCGGTTAAGCACACTCTTTGCCTTCTCCTGGTGTCCAACGAAACTAAGGTATCTGGGCACCTGGCTGCCAAGCGACCTCATGCAGCGTTATCAACTGAATTTCCTCCCTCTCCTTGCGAACATCCAAAAGGACCTCCACCACTGGTCCCCACAATACTGGTTCGGCTGGATTAAAGTGATAACAATGAACATACTTCCTAGATTGCTGTACCTCTTTGCAACTCTGCCCACTGCAATCCCACAACCATTCTTCCGCTCCCTAACAAAGGACATTCGCAGATTCATGTGGAATCAGAAACCAACCCGCATACGCAGAAACACACTGGAATGACCGAAAGCAGCAGGAGGAATATGGCTGCTGTCCGTGCAGCAGTACAACCAGGCCACACACCTACATAGGATTGTAGATTGGCACGCACGCCAAAGCACAAAAAGGTGGGTGGCCATGGAGACACAACAGTCGCGGGGTATGATTCCCGCCAAACTCTGGCTTGGCAATTCCACCTACTCGGAACTCCGAACCAATAACCCGATAATTGACGCCTCTCTCAAGGTATGGTGCAACTTGCGATTTGTCTACCAACTCACCACATCACCGAACCCGTTTAACCCGATCACACACAACCCAGATCTGGCTGGGGATCTCCCCCCCGCAGCCTTGAAGAACTTCCAATGGACGGACTGGTGTTACATACGCCAATGGTGCTCCGACAGAAAGCTCAAAACCCTAGCCGATTTGACAACGGACCAACGACCGACCCAACTCAACATATTCCACTACCACCAAGTGAAAGCTTACTACACACACATAGAGGGAAAGGATCACCTACACAGACAACTGACAGAATTTGAAAGCCTGTGCACGAATAAAAAACAAATGGAACTCGTTATATCATATCTCTATACAATGCTTCAGAAACAGAAAAAAAGGAACGAGAGACAGGGACACAACTGACTGACCACGAATGGGATATAATCTTTTTCTTGACTCATAAATGTTCCATTAGCTCCAAATTCCAGGAGACGAGCTATAAATTTCTAACACACTGGTACAGGACCCCTGATGTCCTGAGACACATGCACAATACTTCCACGGGGGAATGCTGGAGATGCGGCTCTGAGATAGGAACCAGCCTACACATCTGGTGGTCTCGCCCCCGCATAGCACCATTCTGGCGCCTGATCAACACTAAGATCAGGGAAATCACAAGCTCAGACTCCAACCCCTACCACTGCTCCTCCACCACACATCCCTACCCATACAACAATACAAAAGATCACTCACCATACACCTGCTCTCCGCAGCACAGAGCCTCATCCCCTTCCACTGGAAAAGCCAGGCAACACCCAGTTACCGACAATGGGTGGACAAAGTGGAGGTAATCCACGATATGGAAATGATGACCGCCTCCCTGCAGGAGCGCTCGGACAAGTGCGCCCTTACATGGTACCCCTGGAGGGCATATACGGCACGGGGAATAGCACAGCCCCACCACCTGAACTCACAGATGCGAAGAAAACAATGACCCAATAATGGGAACAGCAGAAGTCGGCATGCCCCCCCACTCTGGGAGTCGGGCGGCCCAGCCAATACCCCCCACACCCTGCAGAAATAGAGACCGAAAAGATAAGACTAAGACAGAAACCTGACCGTAAGCCACGTTACAGAGCTTAAAACAAATTTATGACACCCTTAGCGAGACACACCTTTGACCCAATAGATGTACTAAACAGAATAGGGACTTAGAAGTCTGCACAAT